AAAAAAAAAAAAAGTTACTCATTCTGATGAAATACTGGATTCCTGGTAAAACTGAAAGATAATGTTTAATTTCATTGGTAAAGTACCTTAGTTTAAGCATCAAATAATCTCAAATATTTGAATTAATGGGGTTTATATTAGGTGTGGGTCTTCCTGTGTGGTGTGCATGTATATTTTAAAAATTCACCTCAGAATAATAATTATCAAAAAATAATTATCAAAAAATTATGAAAGTATTTTGAGAATGTCCTTTTATAGGAGTTTATTCTAAGTGGTATTTAGATAAGAAACAGATTTTCATAAATATCTAAGTAAATATCAAACATCATAAAAGTATGTTACATAAAGTAAAATTTTGTTACCATTATTTGATATAAGTATTAAAAGTAGCTGCAAGTTAAAAACAGACATGGAATTATTTATTGATAATAAAACTTCTAGAATTAGATTATAATATTCTAAATTTAGGTATTCATAGATTTGATAATTTCCATATCTTTAAACTTTATAAACTATACTGTAGAGTAATTTTGATGGGTAAATAACAAACCCAAATAATTTTGAGAATGCCAAATGAAAACTTATGTTGCACACAAATATATAACACAATACCACTGAGGCTTATGAACATAATGTTATATTAAAAGTTTCCTCAGCAATATATGAAAATCACTCAAAATATATTCTTAGTGATAAAAGGAAAGAATTGCAGAAAAATAGTAGCATTGAAAGGAATTTATGGGAAAATTGAGTCTTTCTACTGTATTACAAAACAAATTATAATATACACAAGTGTATAATTAAATATTTGCTTTGTAAATATGTAATAGAGAGTGAAAACATGAAAAAAAAAAAACAATATTCTTTGTTTATAATACCATCTCAGGGGGTCCACTCAACTTTGCTACTAATTTGCTTCCACTGGTCTATAGAGAACCAATTGTCACATGAGCAACACAGGTAATTAATCCTTGGATGTGGTCTCAAGAAAATCACAGCAGTTGGATAGTTGGAAAAGTTAGGTTAGTGATGAGGTTCAGAGGCTGACAAAGCTGTAATCAATGTGAAAGAGCAAGAGGGATGGAGGAAGAAAGAGGGAGAGATGGATGAGGAGAGATAATATCATTGTACAAGTACAAATGCATCAGTTTGTACTTAAACATTTAGATGAATTACGTTGGTTTACAAATGCAAACTGAACTTTCATGAACATTCTCACATTGATGCTTTGGACATGCTGCATAACTGTATACTTGTAAGAATGATATAAAAGCAGAAGTGCTAGAGTGAAAGATACATAGTTTTTGAAGTTTTTCCAAGTGCTGTTCATAATTTGACACAATTTTTGCACTTCGCCCAACAGCGGACGAGAGTATATCACCTATCACGGGGTGGGTAGCATTGATCTTAATGTTTTAATTGATAATCAGCAATACATCATTAAATGTTTCACTTATTGTATGATTCATTATTTTGTTAACAAGGGAAGCTGGAAAATTTTATAGACATACTAGCCCTCTGTATTTCTTTTAGAGTTCCTACTATATCTTAACCTTTATTAAGCAATACTGTAAACATTTCTTCATTTGAGTCTTAAAATAAGCATTGTTATACTTATTTAGAGAAACAAAACTAAGGCTAAGCAAATTTTACAGATATGTTCAGAGTTACATGCAAGTAAAAGAAAGAGGACTAGAATCATTTTCTTACAACACTTCTGTGATTTGTTTCCTATATTTACTCTACTGCATTATATAGAGTCAAGCTGTATGACTCTTCAGGTATAATCCTGATGTGACTATTAGGCTTATTCATTTCTCTTCCAGCAAGTATTTAGTTGATATCTATTATGTGTCACTTGCTATACTATGTAGAGTTGATATATTTGTGATAAAGAAGAAGAAATAGTTTTTTGTTTCATTGTGTTGTCATCATGGCTGAGAAAGACAGACATTAAAACATGTAAGTTAATTAATGTAATAGATACAATAGTATAGTGGATACCATAGTTGTAAAGTAAAAAAGCAGTGTGTTTAAACAGTCTTAAATTGAGAGGATATGTGGTGAATGGAGAGAGAGAAGTTTCAACTACAGTCATTAGGGAAAGCTTGATATTAAGCTCATTTTCTGTTCTTGTTAAGCTACCACAAACTTATTTCTTAAATTAGCACACATTTATTATCTCAGTTTTGAGAGACCTCTATGGTTGTCCTCTGCTCTATTAAAGTGTTGGACAGGATGTATTCTCCTCTGGAGATCTATCTGTCTTAGAAAACATCCATCTCCTATTTTCCCTGTTGGCAAAATTCCTTTGTGTGTAGTTGTAGAACTGAGAACCTTAGTTTCCTAATGCCTGTCCAGTAGGTCATTCTCAGCAACCAAAGACTGCCAGAAGTTTGTTGTGCCAGGTCCCACTCACCAGACTTCTTACAGGACTACAGATTCTTCAATGTGAGTCTTATATAAAATAATCTATATAAAGGGACTAAATCAACTGAGTGATATCTATTACTTTTTTTATGTATTTAAAAACAAGTCAGTTTCCACTCATAGTCAAGGGCAGGGGATTATGTGAAGGCATGACTCATTTTGGGTGAAATTAGTTGTGTTCAACACAGAAAGCCACACTGAGAAGGCGACATTGAGCAAAACTTGTAGGAGATATGGAATAAATTACACTCTATCTCAGGGAAGAACCTCCAGGCTGAAAGAAATGACTGAAATAGTTACTGCATGTTGTTTTGTTTTGATCACTGCTCTTAGTTGAATGGCAGCAATGATGCTCCTTATCTGCAATTCATAAAATGTGGAGAAAGGGCAAATGACAACACTGAGCATGTGACACTTGACAGAGGAGGAGCAAACTCAACCCTAGCTTAAATATGGTTCTGTACATTATGCAAACACCACCCAAAATTGTACACTTATATCACTGCATCGCTTCCAGGGATGTCTCTGGGGAGTTATGAAGGGTGATCTCACCAGTGGGCAGAATTTTAAATAGTGAATATGATTTTTCATTTTTTTTGGAGAAGTGATTAGAAGTCAGATTAAATGCTGATTCATGGACTGTGGCCAATGAATTGTCTGGGATGTTATAGTACTGGCAGGGACATGACTGGAAAATCAGTAAGAAGGAGGCCTGGGAAGAATTGACAAAATCTCTCTGAATGGGTAAAAAAAAATGCAAAGACTTTACATATCACATACTTATCAAAATATTCTCTTTGCAGAGTAGAATTTTTATAATTAAGTGGATAGGCTGACAATAAATACCAGGCAGCCTTTCCTCCCAGTCAACCCTGCCATTGTTCAATGAACTCATGGGCAAAGTAGCTATGGTGACAGAGAAATGGTAACCCATGGACTCATGTGTCCATAATATGGACTCATGCAAGTCCATAATATAGACC